AAAGAGGGGGGGGGGGATGCTCTATAGTACCGCTATGTTGCCGCCTCACGACCCACGAAGATTAAACCGCTGGCCAGCAGCGGTGCCCCCTGGCAGCCGTGGGAAGCGTTGGGGAGCGTTATACCCGTCTAGAATTCTAAACAACCCCTCGCCGAATAGAAGAGACGCGGCCACGTCGCACATTTAGTGACGCAATTTGGGACTTGATCTTTTATTTCACCCCCGTACGCCCTGCATTTCTTTGGTACTGTATATAGAGCACCTATACATAGTTCGACCGGTCTGTTTGCAGTCGCAGAGCAGGGACTCCTCGCCAGAGGGCGGCGTGCCCATGACCAGCATGTCCATGACGGGCATGGGGCCCAGGCGGAACCGCAAGGCCGACAGCGTGGAGGTGGAGAGCGTCGTCATGGAGACGAACGTCAACTGCCGCTCCGAGCCAGGTGAGACTCGACGGGGCGGCTCCAGGACTTTTAAGCCGTTTACCCTTTCCCCTTTGACACAATTAGCGCGATGCTTCTAAAGCCCCTGCGCCGCGTCGCCAGGAAATCTCCCCCGCGACGCAGGCCCCGACGTCGCTCCATCAGGTGGGGGCGGGGGTCCTAGCTCCGGAAAAGGTGCAGGGCAGACGTAGAAAAACGAATATAACTTCAAAAATAATCATTTTTGGTTGTTTGTGCGGAACTGTAAACTAATTTTTTTAAAGTACTTTTTTGCAAAGTACTCTCTCAAGAAGTACATTAAAATATTTTTTTTTTTTTTTTTTTTTTTTTTGTTGAATACACAATTTTGATTTGTCTGAGGAAACGTTTTTCAAATTACAAATTATTAATAGGATTCGTTACTTATTTCGTCATACCAAGATCCTCTTCTTGTACATGACTGCCGTCCTATGGCGAAATCCACCTCCAACAGTGTCCCTCCCCAGCACCACCCTGGTCCATTTGCGGTCCTTGCCGCAGCCCAAGGCCAAAGTCATCTCGCTCATTGCCGGGTGTATCGCTTTCGCAGAGGCTGACCCCGGGTCGCCCACGTCCGCCGCCCAGGAGCAGAACGCGCGAGGGGCGGCGCAGGGGGCGGCGCAGGGAGCGGTGCCGGGGGCGGGCCGCGGCGGCAAGCACCGGGACCGGGGGAACAAGTCCCGGCTGTTCGGCTCGGCGCGCTCGGCAGGCCTGGCGCACCCCGCGCCCCACCGCAACAACAAGCCTGGCGCCGGCCTCCTGCTGCCCAACGAGGCCGTCTCCTAGGAGGTGAGTAGCGCAGCGCAGCGCGCCAAGTCTGCAAAATGTAGCTGAGTTTGATGTTGGAGCGAGGAGAAGCAAGGGGAAAATCACAATAAGAGTACGAGTTAGTGCACTCTTTTCTAGGGAAAAAAAACTAACTTTTTCCCCGTTATTTTATGATGCACTATATTATGGTTGGCACGGCGCCGACAGCATTACCTTTGTTACAATTACTGTTGTTAGTCTCGCTGTTGGTACTCCATTAATCCTGCGTCATTACGCTGTAAGTAAACTGTGAAAGATGGTAGGAAGGTTTACAGGAAAATTTTCCTTGACGCGAGTTTGTAAAATTACAATTTGTATTCGTAAGAATACATGCAGAACGTATCGACTTGAAATTCATTGGCGAGTAAAAAATGTGCTCTCGTAAATTTACAACTTAGATTTACAATTCGAGTTTACAAAAATTTTATAAGTTTACGAGGATATTTTTCACAGTGGTAGCACAAACCAATACTCCATGTTACTACAAGCCTCATTTGGTGAACGCGTTTGTACGCAGACGACCCTAGCCTTTCTGCACACTAAATGGCGAGGGACAATTTTTGTACGTAGGCTGGATGTGTCTTTGAGCACATCTAAACCAAATGCAAATTTGCATCCAAGTCACATACAAAATATAGCATTTGTACCTAGCCTAGGTACACTTTGTACCTCTGTACAGACAAATTTGTATCTGATGAAGATGTGCTCAAAGACACATCTAACTAAGGTACAAAAATTGTCCCTCCCCATTTAGAGTGTGGGCGGGTGCGAGTCAGCGAGAGAGGAGTTGGAGTCAGACCTTACAACTTCTCTGTTCCCCCCTCCTCCCGGCTGTCCCATCAAGCTGCTTCGGCAGCTCGCCCTCTCACTCATCCCCTTGCTCTATACCGCTGTGTATTAGTTTCTCTCTCACTTCTCCGCCGCAAAACAAAACTTTATCCAGAGTCGAGAAGTGTGCTGCGCTGCGACAAGTTGGTGCCGCAGACAAGACCCCAGCAGCCAAACTGACGATATAACGGCCCGCTCATCACGCCTACAAAAATTATTTTAAGAGTATTATAACAACATAACAACAACAAGCACGCGATGGCTCGCCCTGTTCGTATCGTCTTCCGCACGCTCGAAAGGCTGCACGCCCCTCCTCCACACACGTAGCGGAGCAGGCACCGGGTTGGAGCTCGATGCGGCAAATACTTCCACCTTAATCTGGCAACGTGGATTAAATTTAAAAGCATTTTGTGAGAGTGGGGGGAGGGGAGGGGGTGCGGCTCGTGGGCGCCATTGTGCGTGACTCTGAGCCAATCACCCCCTCCCCTCCCCTCTTCCCTTCTCCCCTCCTGTCCTCCCGTCACCTTTCTCCCCGCGACCCCATATTACATCACCCTCCCTATCATTACTCAGAGATGGGCAAAACCTGAGGCAAACCCCACGGCCTTACGGTCGAAAAACCTCCTCTCTCAACCCCAAAATAGTATACCAGGTGGCTGATTCACGCCGCGCACTTTCAGAGTTATACTGTACCGCATGCACGGGTGCGGGCAGGTTTGCCTATGCTCGCTGCCTACGGCTCCTTACGGCCCCGTGCGAGTAGGCAACCCGCACGCACGCATGGATTCGGTACAGTATAACTAAGAAAGTGCGCGGAGTGAATCAGCCACCTGTTATATAAAATTGTTTGCCGTCATCTTTTCTTCTCATTAGAAGTAACTGGAAGTTTCATAAGGGGGGAACAAAGGTCAGGACTGAAGAGGGAGCGCCGTCTTCCTTGAACCTTTTCTTCTGCGAACAACAACTGCGTACGCCCGGCGCGCTTGCGGGCCTAACCTAACCTATCCACTTCTCGGAAGGCGTTCGGGCAGACAGCTCCGGCCCGGACGCGCTGCACAAACTCTCGGCTGTGTGCCCCGCGCCGCGCCGCCACGCCGGTCCTTGTTAGAGTAGTGAGTGAGAGCTTCCCAAGTTGAGAGCTGCACAGTAGCGCTCCAAGCACACCCACACACACTCTCACCTACTTACCCCTTCACTTCACTAACAAACTGAGCACGTTCGAAGCTTTGTCGTTGGTACTGTTCAACCAACGCAGACGCAGAGTGAGAACGTCTGTTTTCCTCGTCTTGTTTTATTTTGGGAGAAGGGGAAGGGGGGTGATATTTACTTGCAGATGAACGACTTCGCCGCTAAACGAGAGGTAGTGCGATGTCATGCCTCTGCACTAGAAAAATAATAGGTGCTATCTAATGCCTTTTTAGAGGCGCGAGAGAAATAATGCATTGCGCTACTGGCCGCCAAAGGAGCTATTTTCAGCAATTTCAGTGCTTTTGCAGAGGCATTAGTGCAGTCGTACCTTTCAAAAGTGTTTTGCGTGGCACCTTTGTTTTTCCAGGGTGGTTTACCCCTAGTTGTTCATGTTTCGCATATGTGCAAAAAAACAGCCCAACATTCGAGGGCCCGCTCAGTGCTATCTAGAGAGTGAAGAGAGGGGGGGGGGGCTTGCCCTCCGGTAGAGACAGTCTTTAGGGAACTGTCTAAAAATGGACAGCAGCGTCCCATCTCCTCTTTCCCAGTGCTACGCAAGAAATGTGGGACAAGATTTCACAGAAACGTACTGCT